GCGGTTAGCACGAAGAGGCTACCCGAGAGAGGGTGCCCGTGGAGGACCCCCGCGAGGATGAAGAAGAGGAGAGTGCGAGGGCAACCAGAACTCATCGCCGAGGCCAGGAAATACTTGGCCCGGATCGCATCGACCAAGGCTTCGGGGGCACTCCGGGCGGCCAAAACCGACCGCAGCCAGGAGCGAGCGACAGAGCGAAGGCGCGGGCATAATCGCACGCGAGCAGAGGGGGGCAGGGGCGATCGGTCGAGGGATGGTTCGGAGCTTGCAGCAATGCAAGCCAGCGATGCGAGCGACACCGTCGAGCTCAATCAGATCCGCAAGAAAATGTCTGCACGGATGAAGCAACGCGGGCTCGGAGCGGCCGCCGCCTGCACCGCTCGCTTCAGAGGGTGGTTAATGGTTAAGGGCAGCACTGATTGCCCTGGCCCCCGCGTTGCGATGAGCCGGCGGGCGCGCGCCCCCAGGTGCGCGCGAGGAACGCGCGCGGTCGGCCGCGAGCGCGCCTTACGGCAGAAAGACATCGATCGCGCGGTTGTAGTCCGTGCGCATCTACATCATCGCACGGCGGAGTGTCGCTGCGCCGCCGGAGGCCACTGCCCAAGCTGCCGCGGGAAGCCCATCGGGGCCAGGGACTGCAGGGCGCGCGCGGCGCAGCGCCCACTCAACGACTGCAGGGCCGGCGGCGCGATGACGCCCCAGGCGGGGGCCCAGAAGCGCCCCAGGCACGCGGTTTGCGCTCGAGCCCGCGGCGCCAGCGGCGGGCCGAACACCTTGCCCCGGTGCTGGCCGAGCGCCGAGGCAATGGCGGTCGTCTCGGTGAGGTTGGGCGCTCGAGGTAGCGCCTCGCATTGAAAGGGGCCCAGAGCTTCGCCCTCCGTCTCAAGGCCTGCTGCTGGGCCATGACTTGACGGCGGCGGCGCTCCTCCGTCTTCTGCTGGGCAGCCTCCTCGAGTCGGCGGCGCCGGCAGTCAGCTTCCTTCCGCTGGGCAATGCTTCAACGCCGCTGGAACTCCTCGAAATTGGCGATCTCGACGGGGCGAGCCTGCGCCAAGACCGCGACGAGCTCCTGCGCCCAGGCGTTCCGGGTCACCGCCAGCGTGGCCAGGCGCCAGTTTCGGCGCCAATAGGCGCGGGCCAGCCGACGCCAGACGATGGCCCAGACGCCCTTGGCCCAGCCCTCCGCCGCGAGGAGCTCGCTCTGGATGTCCCTGGCGGCCGACTGCAGAACGCTTGCGGTTGCGAAATGCATGTGCTCGTCCGGTGGAGCCTGGTGACGAAGGGGAACCATCTCCAGGTTGCCGTCGACGATCTCCTCAAAGCGCGGCCGCTGGACTACGCCCTGGGGGTCGCAGATGGCGCGCCAGGGTGCCGCGCGGCGCGTTGCCGCCGCAGCGGCGAGGCGACGACCGCGGCGTGGTCGCTGATCCCGCGGACGCGGAGCTCTCGCTCTCGCGCCTCCCCCCGCGCCTGGCAGATCTGCCAGCCTTGTCACAGCTGCCGCCGCGGGACTCCCGCGAACGCGCGGCCGATCGAAAAGCTGGCGCGCGCGCTGGCGCCCCTGTGCGTCGGCTTGCCGGGCATCGGCCCGGCGGCCGCCCGCAGCGCCTCGAGCCGCTGCCGCTGGCCAGGGTGGCGAGCGAGGCGCGCTGCCTGGCTCGAAGAGGCCCCCGCCTCGGGTGCCTGCTGAGAGCAGCGGGGGAGCGCCCGACCGCGCCGCGCCTGGCGAAATTCTCGGGCCAGGGCTCGGGTTTTCAGGGGAACGCCTCCGAATGTTAGGGCGGCCGCCAGCGCCGTGGCGCCCAGGGGCGGGGCAGGCGGCTGCAGTTGCTGGTCGTCCTTGATGTAATTGTCGAGCTCGTCGCAGTCGCCAAAATTGAAACTGCCAGCGATGGAGGTGGAGCGGCTGGTGGGACTCTGGTGAGCCCAGGCCAGGTCCGCGTGATGCGGCCTGCCACCCGTCGCCGTTGATCGGGTGAAATATGATGACAGCGTGAACGAAGTCACGCGGCTGTCTCCCATGAGCCGCAGGACGACTAGGTTCATGGAGCCTGAGAGCCCGTCCACGGGCCAGATCCTCAGACGCAAAAGCGCAGGCGTAGCCGTCCGCCGTTTCAGGCACCACCGCGGCTATCCCTCCAGCATCTTCTCGATTTCCTGCCAGGCGCGAGGAGAAGACGCGGCGCGGCTTCCCCACTCGCTCAAGGAGCACTGCAAAGCTGTACTCGGACGCGTGAGTCTCCTGCAGCGCCCGCAGAATTGAACCCTCCCGGTATCGCTGGATGTAGTTGACCTTGCGTTTGATGTTCTTCATGGCGTCCCTCCCAGACTGCCTGAGAGCTCTACAATTCCAGGTCCCCAGGTGTACCCCTTCTCCGTCGCCTCCCCATGCGCGAGAGAGGGCGTCAAAGTGTCCACTGCTGAACCTCAGGCGCCAGGACGGGGTCAACCACAGCTTTCAGGGCCCACTGCGACTAGTTGATCGCGCGCACCGCCACCATGTTCTAAGAGCCACTGGACGTGGCACCCGGCCCCGTGATCGCGAGCTTGAACATCTGACGCCAGTTGACGGTGAGCACGAAGGCCTCCTTGTCGATGAAGAGCTTGTCCGCGATGACCATCTGTAGGCCGTCTTTGATGCGCTTGAGGAAGATCTCTTGGGATACTTGGCACTGGTTGCGATTGCGGCCGACGTTGGGGGGATCTTCCCGCCGTTCGGGCCGATCGCAGCGAACTCCCTCCACGTGGACGGGCCAGCGCTCATGAGGCCCAAGAGCTTGCCAATTCGCCGCGTGGCCGGGCCCGCGGCACCCAAGCAGAGGAGCTTGCATTGGCGCCCCATGTCCCCGCCCTGCAGCTCCGTCGCTGCCCACGGGAGGTTGTGGATTTCGGCGTCGACCAGGAGCTGCTCCAGCGCCCGAACCACCGCCTGTCTGGGCACGCTGGCGCGCGCCACGATGAAGAAGATGGTGCCGCCGACGGGGCGCGACCAGCCAGTCTCCTGCTGCGGAGGCGCTGCCCGCGGAGCGGCCACCGCGCCCATCTCCGCACGAAACTCACCCATCTCTTGTCGCAAGCGGCCAAACGTACGCATCCTCGCGTCCAAGGCTCCCAAGCGGCCGTCCACGGCCACGAAGCGGGCGTCGACAAACTGGGTGAACTCCTTTTGTGTCTGCTGGAATACCTGGGCCAGGCCGCTCGTGCTCGTCTGAATCTGGGTTGTGAGACGGCGCTCCATGTTGGACAGCGTGCTGGAGAAGTCTTGTTGCCCAGTAGCGGCGGCGCCACCGGTGCCAAAGCCGAGAGGGGCTGGCGGGCCGAAGCGCTGCGCAGCGGCCTCCGCCCAAGCGTCGTGGGGGGCCGCCTCGTTCCCCTGCTGCGACAACGAAGGGAAGGTGGGCATGGCCTCCAGCGCGGCGAGGGTCTCGGCAATGATTTCTCCGTCACCAGCGGGGTCCTCAGCGGATCCATGAGCGCGTCCAGCTGCCCGCCCAATCTGCGCGGCAAGCCTGGCCACGGGCGCCTCGCTGGCGTGCTGGTGCCACCACGTCCCGTCCAGCGTCGCGCTCGCTGCGCAGGCGTCGCTCCCGCAGCTCGTTCTCCTCGTCATCCGCGGCATGCTGGCGACGCTCCCCTGGCCATCGTTCGGACGTCCATTCCCCGTGTTTTTGTTCGGTTTCGTGCGTGGCTTTTCCGCCAAATGATCAAGGATGCTCCTCGATGGTCCTCGCCGAAGGAAAAATGCACACGTCCGAACGATGCCAAGTCCCCGCGGCGGGCGTCGCGGCGAGGCGCTTCGCTGCGCGAGGTGCTCCGCTCCGACGAAGAGACCGAAAAGCGACGGGAGCCAGCATGCCTGCTGCCGCCACCAGAGACAGAAAGCGTGGCCACATCGGCTGCAGCTGCCGCAGCCGACGTCGCCTGGCGTGAAGAAGAAACGTCGTTGATTTCTGCGGCTGCCCGTTTGACCAAAGAACGGCACCAACACACGGAGAGGAACATATGCGAAGAAGAAGAAAAGCATAATAAGAAGAATAATAAGAAGAAAAAAAAGAAGAAGGAGCATAACAAGGAGAGGGACAATAATAATAATAACAAGAAGGAGAGGAAGAACCTGCCCCAGGCCCTTGCGCCGCCGGCCGAGCCTGTAGCAGACCCGCGCTGACCTGGCCAGTTGCCTCGACTGATGTTCTTCTTGAGCCACAATGGCTTGAACCAGCATGGCTACTGACGAGGAGGAGGAGAGGAGGAGAAGGACCAGTGCAAACCCAAACGCCATTAAAGATGTTGGAAAACCCTCCCTCAAAGCTCCCTCTTCACAAGCCCCTACAACGGGTCATTTCCACTTACGGAAGTGCCTCGTTGGAAGACAACCGTTAACACTCTGAAGCATGCGAAAACAGTGTTCACGGGATTTCAACTCCACGGTACAACTTGACTGTTGCGTCTTGACGGCCATGAATCGCGCCAAAACGCCATTCCTGGAACTTAAACACCGCGAATCCATGCAAACGTTACGCCCGCGTAATCTTGAATCCTTCCAAAACACCATGGCCGGTCTGCTGTTCATGGGGATTGGTGACATTCTTGCAAATTTGGAAAACAAGCGAATGTGCGCGAGAACGCCATTTTGAAAAGAACCGCCCTCAACCCGTGAAAATCTTACCAGTCGCCCTCACGCCGTGAAGCTCTTGCACATGTTTGAAACGAATATGCGCGGCGCCAATGCGAGAGCCGCATTTTGAAAACCACCCGCCCTCCATCTGTGAAGCGTTTGCCATCGTTTAAGCTCCAGGGTCACACATGGTGAGGGAGTCCCAAGCGAAACGCCCAGCCCGCCCTAAAAACTGGCCTCGGGGTGCGACAGGGAGAAATTAGAAATTATTGTAAAGGAAAAGGAATGGAAGAGGAGGGGGGCGAGGAGTCCAGGAGGAGGAGAAGGAGGAGGAGGAAGAGGATGATGAGGACGAGGAGAAGGAGGAGGAGGCCGAGGCCCGGGCAGCCGCGGGGGCCCGCCAGCCAAGCTCCACGCGGGCGTCTTGCTGCTGGCGAGCCGCCGCCGCTTGTTTTTTTTCTCGAGGCTCGGCGGCGGCGGCTTGCGGCGACGGCCACGACCACGACCTTGCCAGATCCCAGGGCGTGAAGAAACCACAACTAGAAGCCTCACAACTTGCCATCGCTCGGACGCCCATTCCGCGTACATTTGTCGGGTTCGTGCGTGGTTTGCTTGCCAGATGTTCAAGGTGTTCCTCAAACGGCCTCGCCGAAACAAACGCACATGTCGGAGCGATGCCGAGCCAGATGGAGGTCCGAGTAGATGGGGTCGGAGGGTCGCGCCGCATCGTCGATGCATCTGCGCCATCCGCGTGGAGAAACTCCGGCTCCACATCGAGCCGCATCGGCGCTGCATCGAATGCGGCGCGATCCTCCGACCCCCTGCTCGGACCACATCTGGCAGGCCCAGAACAACGGCCGATTTTGTTTGCCACTCTCGGCCTCCGAGGGGGCCCTTCTCGTGCCTCGGCACCGTGGAGAAGAGAACATGGCATGACAGGGCGTTCCCCTGGAGGGGGTCTGGGCCCCAGGGGAGCCCCGCCGTGGAAGAAATCGCGCCGTCGGATGTCCGGGAACAGCGGCGACTCCGACTCCGACGCTGACGCCGACGCCGCCAAGGCCGACGAGGGCGGCGCCGACGACGACGACGACGACGACGACGGCCAGGCTGAGAGCGGGCGTCTTGCTGCTGGCGCACCGTCGTGGTCGAGGCTCGAGGGGGGAATCTGAGGGGAGGACACGACGCGAAAGCGCTGCGGCAGCTTCGAGCCTGCCTCGCCTCGCCGTCGTTCTGTGTGCAAGCCGTTCGAGCTACAACGGGAAGCACTCCGCTTCCCGAAACCCGAGCCCGATGGGGCCGAGGGGCAGATTTGGGGCGGGTTGCTGCTGAGGAAGAGGAGGTGGAAGAGGAGGAGGTGGAGGAGGAGGAAGAGGGGGGACGAGGAAAAGGAGGAGGAGGAGGAGGAAGAGGAGGAGGAGGACGAGAAGGAGGAGGAGGAGGAGGAGGAGGAGGAGGAGGTCGAGGCGTCGAGGCTCGAGCTGGTTGGGGGATGTCCTTCGGCTTTGGGGGCCTCCTGGGGGGCTCCTCTTCGCTGCGGCCGGGACCGCCTCGAGATCCTGGCCCGAAAGTGCCCCGGGGTGGGTCGCGGGATGGCTCTTTCCAGGGGATGGCCCAGACGTCCAGGCGCCGCAGAAGCAAAAGCCAGGGGGGGGGGCCGTCCCAGGAGCAGGGGGGACATCACCAGAAACTGCCCGTGGCAAGATGTGGGCATGGCTGCGGCGTCGAGGGCCCCGAGGGCCCACGCCGTCGGAAAGCACGACGCGGGAGGCCTGGGTCCCTCCCCCTCCTTCTCCTCCTCCTGCTCTTCCTCCTCCTGCTCGTCCCTCCTCCTCCTCCCCTCCGCCTCCTCCTCCACCTCCTCCTCCTACTCCTCCTCCTTCCTCCTCCTCCTCCTCCTCCTCCTCCTCGTCCTCCTCCTCCTCCTTCTCCTCGTCCCCCTCCTCCTCCTCCTCCTCCTCCTCCTCCTCCTCTCCTCCTCCTCCAGCTCCTGCTCCCTCCTCCTCCACCTCCCCCATCTACTCCTCCCCGCCTCTTCTGCCCCCCCCCCCCCCCTTCGCTCATCCTCCTCCTGCTCTTCCTCCTCATCCTCCTCACTTCCCTAGCCCCTCCTACTGTCACACAGCCTCCCTCCACATCGCAAGGCACTCGTTCAGGGGACCCCCCGATCCCTCCTCCTCCTCCTCCTCCTCCTCCTCCTCCTCTCCTCCTCTCCTCTTGCTGCTGCTGCTCCTCCTCCTCTTCCTCCTGCTGCTGCTCCTCCTCCTTCTCCTCGTCATCCTCCTTCTCCTTCTCCTTCTCCTCCTGCTCCTCCCCTTCCTCCTCCTCCTCCTGTTCCTCCTCCTCCTCGTCCTCCTCCTCCTCCTTCTCCTCGTCCCCCCTCCTCCTCCTCCTCCTTCTCCTCCACCTCCTCCTCCTCCTCCTCCACCACCTCCTCAATCTCCACCTCCTCCTCCACCTCCTCTTCCCCACCTACTCCTCCCCGCCTCTTCTGCCCCCCCCTTCGCTCATTTTCCTCCTGCTCTTCCTCCTCATCCTCCTCACTTTCCTAGCTCCTCCTACTGTCATGCAGCCTCCCTCCACCTTGCAAGGCACTCGTTCAGGGGTGACCCCCCCGGATTCCTCATCCTCCTCCTCCTCCTCCTCCTCCTCCTCCTCCTCTTCCTCCCTGCTGCTGCTCCTCTCCTTCTCCTCGTCATCCTCCTTCTCCGTCTCCTTCTCCTCCTGCTCCTCCTCTTCCTCCTGCTCCTCCTCTTCCTCCTCCTCCTCCTTTTCTCCTCCTCCTCCTCCTCCTCCTCCTCCTCACTTTCCTAGCTCCTCCTACTGTCATACAGGCTCCCTCCACCTTGCAAGGCACTCGTTCAGGGGTGCCCCCCCGGATTCCTCCTCCTCCTCCTCCTCCTCCTCCTCCTCCTCTGCCTCCTGCTGCTGCTGCTCCTCCCTCTTTTCCTCCTGCTGCTGCTCCTCCTCCTTCTCCTCGTCATCCTCCTTCTCCTTCTCCTTCTCCTCCTGCTCCTCTTCCTCCTCCTCCTCCTCCTCCTCCTCCTCCTCCTCCTCCTCCTCCTCCTCCTCACACGCCTTCCCTCGAACTCGGAGGAAAGGGGGGAAGAGGAGGGGGGCTGGAACGGATGCAAGGAGGGAATGGAGGAGGGGCAGTAGGAAGAGGAGGAGGAGGAGGAGGAGGAGGAGGAGGAGGAGGAGGGGGAGAGAAGGATGAGGGGGAGGCGGAGGAGGAGGAGGAGGAGGGGGGACGAGCAGGAGTATGAGGAGGCGCGGGAGGGAGGCAGGGGAAAGGAGATGAGGAGGGTGACCACGATGGAAGCCACCACCTCCGCAGGTTCACACACAACACCAACGACGGGCGGCACGACAACTTTACGAGACATCGTTTCGCGTTTTCGCTCCCATGCCCCACTCTTCACTGCGCGCAGCCCAGCCAATTACGCCTGCAATATACTTCGAAACTTACCCTGGTAAAGCACCCTGATAGCAGCAACCTTGACCAGCGTGGCCATCGAGACCCGTTGGAGCCGTGGGACCTGTAGGACCTGCGGGCTACGTGGGAGCCGCTGGACCTGTGTGACCCGCGGGACCTACCTGGCCTGAGGGACCTGCGAGGCCTGTGAGACGTGTGGGGCCAGTCGGGCCTGTGGGACCTGCGAGACCTGCGAGACCTGCAGGACCTGCGGGGGCCTCGAACTGCGGGACCTGCGGGACCTAGACCTGTGGGACCTGCAGAGCCTGCGAGGCCCGTGGGGCATTTTGGGGCCTGTGGAACCTGAGAAATCTGCGAGGCCCGTGGGACCTGTGGAACCTGCAAGGCTTGCGATCGAGACCTGTGAGGTTTGCGGGGCTTGTGGGGCCTGTGTGGCCCTTGAGAGATGTGGGGCATGTGGAAAAGATGAGACCTGTGGGGCCTAGGGGACCCGTGGTGGAACCTGTGGGACCTGCGGGACCTGTGGGACATGCAGGGCCCGTGGGAGCTGTGGGACCTGTGGAGCCTGTGGGACCTGGGAGGCCTGCGAAACCTAGTGGAGCTGTGGGACGTGTGGGACATGTTAAACCTGTGCGACCTGTGGGACCTGCGGGACCAGCGAGACCTGCGGGACCTGCGGAACCTGCAAGACCTGCGAGAACTGCGAGAACTGTGGGGCCCTGGAGACCATGAGACGCATGTGAGACCTTCGGGAAATGTGGGACCTGCGAGACTTGCAAGACTTGCGAGACTTGCACGACTTGCAAGACCTGTGAGACTTCCAGGTTTTGCGTGGCCCTTGAGACCTCTGGCCTGTGGGCCGTGTGAAAACTGTGCGACCTATGGGGCCTGTGGGACCTGTGGGTCCCGTGGAACCCGTGGGCCAATCGGGACCTGTGGACACGCAGGACCCGTGGGAGCTGTGGGACCAGTGGGTTTTGTGGGACCTGCGACACCTGGTGGAGCTGTGGGACGTCTGGGACATGTGGGACGTGTTCACCTGTGGGGCTGGCGAGACCTGCGAAATCTGCGGGGCCTATGGGCGCTGTGGGAGCCGTGGGACCTCCAGACGGTTCTAGGTGGCCCCCAGGCGGCCCAGGATGGCATCAAGATGGCATCAAAATGGCCCAAGATGGCCCCGAGGCGGCCCGATATGGCTTTGAGGGGGCCACTAGGCCACCAACGCGGCCCGTTCCATAGGTATCTCGTCAAGATTATTGGATCCCTCCGTTCCGAGTGCATGGGCGCCCAAGGCGGCACCAAGAAGGAGGCTTCAAGCATAGGTCCAAGACGGCCCACGATGCCCCCTAAGCTGCCCCCAAGAGGGCCCCACGACGGCCCAGGAGCCATAGGGGCCCAGGACGGAGACACCGAACTGGCGCCCATAGGGGCCCATAGGGGCCCATAGGGGGCCATAGGCGCCTCCCTCCTGGATAGCCCCGGCCCCGAACGCCTTCAAGCGACCATCGTGCCCCAAGAGGTCCCCAAGAGCCACCCAAGAGGCTCCCAGCATGCCCCCCCCCAAATCCCGAAACTACAATGCTGAAGCCCACTGTGAGCCTCCAGGCCGACAGAGCGGCACGACCGTCTCGATCGTCATCTCGCACTCGATCCCCCAAGGCGCTTCCCAACCGAGCCTCTGGCCCGTCCCTGCTGTCACCGCGCCCGACCCTGCTGCCACCTTCCAGCTCGGCACGAACGTCCTCTCCGCCTCCGTCCTCCTGCCGCTCTTGCTGGTGCTGCTCCTCCTCCTCCTCCTCCTCCTTCTCCTCCTCATTCTCCTCCTTCCCCTCCTCCTCTTTTTCCTTTTCCTTCTCCTCCTCCTCCTCCTCCTCCTCCTCCTGCTCCTCATTCCTCCCCGCATCCCCCCCGCCCCCTCCTCCTATACTGTCTCCTCCTGATCGCGACGTGTCGGACGCAGAAACAAAGAACCAATGATGCCAACACCAAAAAACATGCCCAGATACCGAAAGGCCGCGATGGCCCACCAAGATGGCGCCCATAAACCCCGCCCACCCACTTTCACGACGTTTCCCACACGCGTTGAACCACCCCCGCGCTCCCCATCATCATCGCCGCCATCACCCATACCATCGTGAACCCCACCATCATCATGCTTTACTATCCCTCGGATATGTTCCAATCATAGCTCTGGTCTTCGTTTCACGCATCGCACATCTGACGGGACTCCCCCCAAGAGAGACCAATGCGCCATTACATCGTAATATTTCGTAGGACTCGTGCTCATCCAACTCCCCCAGACAGGCCCTCTGGAGAGGCTTCGTCAGATCACCCTGGAGGTTATTCAACACCGATCCAATAATCTTAGCATCGATATCAAGGACGCAGTCCATTATCCTCCAAGACCCTCGGACTTTAATATCCCCATCGGATTATTCTCTCGGGCGAGGGGATATCCACCCGTCGCCACAATCCTCGTCAGATTGACGTGCTCACAATCATCAGCAGCATCATCACCATCATCATCATCATCATCATCATCATCATCATCATCATCATCATCATCATCCTCATCCTCATCCTCATCCTCATCCTCATCCTCATCCTCATCATCATCCTCATCCTCATCATCATCATCATCATCATCGTCATCGTCATCGTCATCGTCATCGTCATCGTCATTGTCATCGTCATCGTCATCGTCATCGTCATCGTCATGATCATCATCACCATCATCATCGCCGCCTCGTCACTCCCGCATCCTCGACGCCATGCCAATCTCTGTTTCCAACGGCGACACGACGCGGACAACCGCTTCACATGTTGCAGCTGCGCAATCCTCGTGACGCGAAGTGTCGCGCGTTGCGGTACCCTGTCGACCGCCGCCCTACGTGCCAGGCAGTAGCGGTGCCCGGAATTGCAGCAAGCAGCCGGGGTTTGGCCGACCAATTTCCACTATAACTGCCGTTAAACCTCGCAATCTGCACGGAACAACTGTGCCTCGACGGACCGACGATAAACGGAACTGACATTTGGAGTTTAGAGAGAACGAATCCGAGCGGTAAGGGTCGAGTAGGGAAACGAAGAATGACATAAACATAAAAACTCGGAGGTCCGCGCGGATTTCTCGGATCCGCGCTGGGCCCCCCTGACGGCGCCTCCAGCGCGAATCCGAGAAGTCCGCGCGGACCTCCGAGTTGTTGTGACTGTGTCATTCTTCGTTCCCCTGTAATGAACCAGTGCCCTGGGACCCCACAAACATCCCGGAGGAGGAGGAGGAGGAGGAGGAGGAGGAGGAGGAGGAGGATGAGGAGGAGGAGGAGGAGGAGGAGGAGGAGGAACACACTGGAACAAGAAGAACATGCATCTTCGCGCCAACGGCCAAAACCAGAAGGGTCGGCACGCGGACGCGCCACAATCCTCCTTGCCAGATCCTCCTTCTCTTCGCAGTCCTCCTTCCCCTGAGAATCCTCCTAATCCTTCTCGTCCTTCATGATCCTCATAATCCTCCTCATAATCTTCAGAATATTCTCTTCATAATCCCACTTCTCTGCATAATCCTTCTCAACTCATTACCCTCCTTCTCCTCCGCCTCCTCATCGTATTCATGCTCATGTCCAGCAGCGACACGGCGCGGACGAGCGTTGCCCATGTTGCAGCTCCCAAAAACCTTGTGGCACGACGTATCGCTCGTTACGGCTCACTGTGAATCGCCACCCATGGTGCCGGGCTGGTGCGGCTACGGGACTTGCCGGCGACCCCCAAAATACCTCCAAGAACCTCTGAAGAGGAGGGCCCCCCGAAGGCCCAATCCCAGACAAGGCTTGCAGATCACGACTCCTGGCCGCAAACGGCCCAGTGACGGACGCACTTCTCACGCCGAGGCTCCGTGGAACTCGAGCTCGAGGCGATGGAGTCTCTTCGCAGACCCAGACACGGCTCAAGAGAACCCCCTGGCACGTACACCTGGCATCGCTCGGACGTCCATTTCCTGTGTTTTTCGGTTTCGTCCGTGGCTTTTTCGCCAAATGATAAAGGATTCTCCTCGATGGTCCTCGCCGAAGGAAAAATGGACACGTCCGAGCGATGCCAAGCACAAGAGGGCCGGCCGCAAGAGACGACCCCATGAGAGCCCAAGAGGGCGCGGGCACGGCCCACAAGGGCTCCAGAACGTCTCAATGGGGCCCCCAAGACTGCCGTGGAGGCGTACAATGAAGGGGCCCCAGGACACACAAATAAAAATATTCACCATATTTTCCCAAATTTTCTGGGTTTCTGTCTTCCCCCCCACTTCCCATATTCTCCCATATTTTCCTGGGACTCGGCGATTAATTGTGTCTGTGTGTTTCTTTCCCTCCTGATACAAGAGCCCCAAATACAGGCCCAACAAATCCGAAGAGGCCCGCCGCATGCGTCAAGAAGTACCTCCAGGGACCCCCCCGTGAAGGGCCAGAGAACGGACCAGGGACGCCACAGCTTGGGCGCTTAGACTCCCAAGAGCAACAGACGACGGAGCACCTTGATTTAGGCGAGCCTGTCACGTCAACCAGCTTGAACGCCACGTCGACGCGGGCGTCTCCATCACCGTGCGCACCAATACCCCGAATCCATATGACCCCCCGACTCCCGCCCCTCGGCGCGTGAAGCACATCGAATGCATTCCTCAACATGCTGTTCCTCTTCGTCGCGAATGCTCTGCTTGCCTGTGGAGGCCACTCGGTGACGCTTCCCTTTCACACTGGGACGAATCCCGAGGGCCCCAAAGGGTCGGCGGTGCGACGTAAACATCAAAACCAACCTTCCGAGACCCCCGACGTCTTGATTGTCTCACGACGTGGTCACCTCGAGCTCTCGACACTATCCACGGGACAGGCTTCTCTCCCCTGCTCGTCGTCTCAAAGGCCCGGGGCCCGAGGACGGCCCAAACACGAAGAGACACGCAGGCCGCCGTGAAGTCTCCGCGACACCCTGGAGCCCGCTGGTGGTGGTGCCGCTTCCGTTCCGTAGCGGCTTGGACGGTTCACGTCAGTGGACGACATGCTGCACAGGAGAAGGGAAGAAGCGTGGGACGGTAGACAGAATCAGGCGTCACTACTCTGGAGGCGCCTCGACCGCAGCTTTACTCGAAGGAGGAAGCTGTGAGCAGAGGCGCCCTAAATTGGGTCCGAATAAAAGTCCGAAGATCGCGACGCATCGGAGAAACGCGGGCTCCACATCGAGCCGCATCGTCAATGCGTCGTCGATGCGGAGCGCTCCTCCGACCCGGTACCGCTACTCCCCGGACCTCTCCCGGGGTGCGTTCTGACCAGAACTTCGAGGCGCATCCAGCGGTGGCGCCGAGGGCATCCCAAAAGGCCTAAGCAGGGGAAAGAGAGGGAAGGGTAGCGATATGGGTATCCTTTTTGAGCAGGGACCGACCGTCCCAGCACTCCTATAGGCCTACCACGACATGTTCGTAGAACCCAGGCATGTTCTAAGAACGAAAACAATGTTCTTAGATCATCGACTCGATGTGTGAAAACAAGACAGTCTGAGCCAGAACTGCTCTAATGACATAACGTGCAAACCACACGGGGCTCTTACAACGTTCTGCTTGGCAGGCCTGGGAGGCAAACCAGGACGCTTCGCCGGTGCTTGACCCTTCTTCCTCTGAGCTCCTCCCCCCCTCCGCCAAGAGGACACGGCGCTCCTGTACGCGAAGGACGAGCCCGTCCAGAGGGGGGGCCCGGCGCCGGCGGCCGCTGCCGGAGGGGGCGGGCAGCCCCACGCCCTGCTGGACGGGTCGGCCTCGAGCGTGGTGAAGAGCCTTCGGGGGAGGGGGGGTCCTGCGAGCGTCAAGAGGATGATGATGATGATGATGAGGAGGAGGAGGAGGAGGAGGAGGAGGAGAAGGAGAAGGAGACGGAGGATGAGGAGGAGGAGGAGGAGGAGGCCGAGGAGGAGGAGCAGGAGGAGGAGGAGGAGGAGCATCGGGCAGAACGGGGGGCGGGTCTGGCTCCGGACCTCTGCTCCGCGCGGCCGTTTTGTAGGAATTGCTGCCTCTGGGGGAGGCTCCACCCGCTCGAGACGGGCGCCAGAAACAGCCGAGATCTGCTCCATGGGGGTGGGGGCGGGGGGGGGGTTGCACGGCCCGCGCCGATCGGCAGAACAACGAGCCAGAAAACTACCACCTGGGGTTACGTCCAGTCGGACTCGATTGGACAGGACACGCGAGAGGACACAAGACCCTTCCGAGGGCCACGTCGCCACAGGAGTGCAAGAGGCATGGGCCGCGAGACACAGGACACGAGGGTACCCTTGTTCTGGCAGGGCCGAACTGCTAATCCGGGCCGACTGTATGGTGTTCCAACCTGCTTCAGCATGGTCTGGCTCGGGACCTCTGCTCCGCGCGGCCATTTGCAGGAGTGCTGCCCACTGGGGGAGGCGCCGCCCGCTCGAAGCAGGCGCCAGGAGCAGCCAGGCTCTGCCCCACGGGGGCACGGCCCGCGCCGATCGGCAGAGCAGTGAATACACCAAAAAACGTCACCATGGGTCATGGTGCTCCAGCCTGCTTCAGCACTGGCCACCGAAGGAGCTTCGAGCACCGAGGAAGCACCGAGACTGGAATAACAAAAGCGATCACCTTGGGTCACGATGCTCAAACCTGCCTCGGCATTGGCCATCAGAAGGAGCTTCGAGCACTGAGAAAGCACCGAGACTGGGTGGCCCTGAAGAGCGACACCCCCGGGAAAGCCTTCACGCGCCGGGCCCTGGGAGGCGATACTCCTTCGACACGTCGCCAGCGCGTCGCCAACGCTCTGGGTGCTCGACATCCGCTTGGGGGATGTGGTCCTCGAGTCCTTGGGGGCCGGGCCCGCACGCCTCCCGTTCTCTGCGTGCCCGTGTCGCAGTCAGCTACACGCAAGAGTGACCCTGGGTAAGAGTGACCTTTGGTGCGCGACTCAACGAGGGCGCGTGGGGTGGCAAAACACAAGCGCGCAAGACGCTACTGTCGCATCGCGCTCGGCGACCGGGGGGACCCAATGGGTCCGCACCAAAGGCCACTCCGGCGAAGGGTCACTCTTACGCCTAGTCGACGCAGGGCGCCCCCGCTCGCGTGCCTTGCGCCCCGCGTGCCCAATCACCGCACGAGGTGGGCGCGGCGCACCAACTTTTTGAAGGGGCCCCAAGACACACAAATAAATACACACAAATAAAAAGATTCCCCATATTTTCCCATGTTTTCTGAGTTTCTGTCTTCCCCCCACTTCCCGTATTTTCCAATATGTTCTGGGGAATCGACGATTAATTGTGTCTGTGTGTTTCTTCTCCCTCCTGACTTTTGTCCGAGCCGGGCGCTGCTGGGCAACTCCAGGCCCCGAGGCCTGCGCAGATCGAGCCGGCTCGAGGCATGGCGCAGAAAGCTGGGGTCTTGGGCTCTGGGCGTGATGTTGTACAGTCAACCTGTACAGTCGGGGCCTTGACCTAAGGAGCCCAAAATAAGGAACGAGGCCTCTTTTGTTCCATCAGTTAGGCTTCGATTTCCGATCGAGAACCCAAGGAAAACCTGAGGCAAGCTGCGAAACACCTAAGGAACGCGGAGCCCCTCCCCAACGAAAAGGGTTCCTTCTTCAGGGCCCCGACTGTACAGTAAGGACGCGCGATAAGGATGAAAGGGCCTTGGACGCCCAGTTCGAAGCTTTTCGAGCGGGGCGCGGCCATCGAACGTGGCAGAGGATGGAGCGAGGAGGCAAGGATGCAAGGGTACCCTTGGGACGGTTGCCCATCCTTACTGTGCGGGTTGACTGTGCGGTGTGGCCGTTGTTTCGCGACGTCGGATCTCATGGTCCTGGCCGGCCGCGGCAGGTTTCTGGGGAAGAGGTGTCGGGGGGCTCGGGACCGCTTCGCGTGGTGAAAAAACCGCGGCGGCGGGTTTTTTTTGCTATTCGCGGCCCAGCCCCGGGACCGTCGCAGAGCGACTCGGGATGAACAGCCGGTCCATAGGAATGAATGGGTCGAGACCTCCTGGGGTCGACGCTGTAAATGAATCATGACGTCGGCGGTCTGGGGGGCGAGATGAGGAACACAGCGCGCAGACTGCGATGCGACGGGCTGAACATGAGAAGGCCTTGGAGGAGGAGGGGGTGGGCCCATGCCGACCTGGATGAGGGGCGAGGAGCGTAGGGGGAGAGAGGCGGCTCTGGCAGGTCTGGGTCGTGACGACTCTGGCGATGGTCTCCGATGCCGCGCGGATCGTTCGCCCTTCCGCGATCGTGGCTGGTCCCGAATCGGTAGTTCTGGCAAGTTACGTGACACGGCGCCTCGTCCAGGCCCATCCGAGGCAACGTGTTGAGTAGAGTGTCTTTGTCGCAAGCATCTTGTGGTGTTGGGTCCTCTTTGTGAAGAGACGGGCCCCGCGTTCAGTCCTCCTCATCCTCCTCCCGCGTCCCCCTTCCTCCTCCTCCTCCTCCTCCTCCTCCTCCTCCTCCTCCTCCTCCTCTTTCTTTCCGACAACGCGGGCCGTTCGGTGCCGACCGGTTCCGGGCCACTGGCGGCGCTCCATCTCGGACGCCCGCGCTGGGGCCGCCGCCGCGCCGAGGTGGCGCGCATCCACCGAGGGTGGAGATGCCAGAGGTAAGTCCCCCCCTTTGGGGTCCCGACCGCCGCCCGAAACAAAGAACAATCTCTCGTGACGAGTGTTTGTTGTGTGGTTTGCGCTGCAATGTGCGCGACATTCTATTCAAAAATCGAGCAACTGCCCGAAGGGCAGGCCCCCCTCCCCCCTCCCTCACCGAGGGCAGGTTGTAGCACACGTGCAACGAAGTTTGTTCGCGCGGGCCTGGTTGCCGAGGCGTCGGGCATGACCCCCCCCCCTACAGGCCGATTTTGGACGAAGAATTAAACATACCAAGAAAAATACCCCAAACATGCAAAAAAATGTCAAACAATAGTCGCCAGACTATGTTTTAAACTACTTTTGAATCTTCCCTCTGTAGAGGGACAGGCCCGACATAATGCCAGAGCACAAACACTCTAAGAATCCATCTTGCGAGACATCCACCAGCACCGCCTTCGTCGACCGTGATCCCCGGGCCGAGCGAGCACAGGCCGGCAGCAAGCCTCTCACTGAGGGTTCCCATTGCTGACTACCTACCAAACCACCCAAACCCAACCCGAATATCCGAATTTCGGAGGGTGCGCCGCTGGATCTCCCCAAGGGGGGTGGGGGGTGTTAGGACCCCCCCCTCCCCCCCTTTCCCCGATCCGTCGTCGGGCAACCCCACCCCCCCTTCCCCCCTTCCCCGATCCGTCGTCGGGGACCCCCCCCCCTCCCCCCCCTTTCCACGACCCGTCGTCGGGGACCCCCCGCCCTTCCCCCCTTTCAAAAGGGGGGGGGGGTCCCCCCCCCCCTCCACCCCTTTCGCCACGCCGCCCCCTGACGCTGGAACCCGACCCCCGCCACCCCTACCCCTAGTCCTCACCCAAACCCCGAATCCTAACCAGTAACCCCAGCCCCAAAGGGAGTCACGAGGGGCCCCCTACCCCCTAACCAGTAACCCCAGCCCCCTACTCACTAACCCCTACGCACTTCTCGCTATTCGCTACTCACGACTCACTACTCACTATCCACTACTCTCTACCCACCACCCACTACTCGCTACTCACTACTCCCTACCCACTACCCCCTCCTCCCTACTCACCACTCAATCGTCACTACCCACTATTCAATACTCACTACTCACTAAGCACTACTCACTACTCCCTATTCACTACTCAATAATCACTAATCATTACCCACTACCCACTATCCACTATTCATTACTCACTACTAGCTACTCATTGCCCACAAACCACTACTCACTACACACAACTCGCTACTCGCTAATCCCTACACAATACTGGCTACACAGTACTCAGTACTCGCTACTCCCATACTCGCTACCCAATACTCACTACTTACTCCCCGCTACTCACTATTCACCACTCAGTCCTTACTACGTCCTAGTCACTAATCACGACATAGTCTCTAGTCCCTAGTCACAACTCACTAGTCACTAGTCACTACTCACTGCCCACTACTCACCAATCGCTACCCACTACCCACTATTCGCTACCCACTTATTACTACTCACTGCTCACTACTCCCTACTCCCTACTCAGCACTCGCTACTCACTACTCACTACTCGCTACTCCCTACTCGTTACTCACGAATCACTACCTACTGACTACAGTCTACTCACTTCTCACTACTCACTACTCGCTACTCACTAGTCACTACCCACTGCCACTACCCACTACTTTCTATTCACTATTCACCACTGCTCACTACTCACTACTCACTACGCACTACGTACTACTCAGTACTCACTACTCACTGATCACTATTCACTACTCACTACTCACTACTCGCTACTCACTACTCACTACCCCATTACTCACTACTCACTACTCACTACGCACTACGCACCACCCACAACTCACTACTCACAAATTACTACTCGCCACCCATTACTCACTACCCACTACTCACTACCAGTACTCCCCACTCCCTACTCCCTACTCAGTACTCACTACTCGCTACTCGCCACTCACTACTCACTTATCAGTACACACTTGTTACTCACTATATTCACTACTCACTATTCCCCACTCCCTACTCCCTAGTCCCTACTCGCCACTCACTACCCACTACTCATACTCACTACTCACTACTACTCACTACCCAACTCACTACTCACTACGCACTAACTCACCACTCACTACTCACCACTCCCTACTCCCTACACGAGGGGGAGGGGGGTCCGACCCCCCTCCCCTTTCCAGCG